GGGGGGGGGGGACAGGTGTTCAGTTACGTATACACAGTGTCTCGATATCTGAATACATATTTAAAAACAATATCTCCTGATATAAAGTACTTTACGACAAGGATTCCCAAACTAAACCCACATGCTTACCAGATAAACTCAAGTTAACGTGTTTCCTTTACTTGATATATAGGAGGAAGTTAAACAAAAGGTGGAAAATGTTGCATTATTGTATTTTTATTTGAATTGACAAAGTAAAGCCTACTATTTCATCTTTTAGCCGATTATTTCAAGGGTTTCAAAGCTTCAGATTTCAATAGTTTATCACCACTTTTATCTAACCAAATCAACCGATAATCTATACATGGAGCTAACTAGCCTTTTCAACGGTTTATTTTCTAAGTACGAGTTTAATTGGTAAATATTACTTTAACTTACTATTTCAACTTTAGCTAACTAGCCTTTTTTAACTGTTTGTTTTTAGCTAAAGACTTTAAATGTTAATCATTACCGTTAGCTAACTAGTCTAACTGTATATGCATCATTATTTTGAATATTTATCAGTAAGATTTGGCCTATTATTTAAGCCATTTATCAATTATTTTAACGTAAATATTTCAGCTATATGAATTCATTTTTTAAATACATTTTTAAACTATTGTTGCTGTATTTTACTGATTATTGAGTATTAACTAAGGGTTTGTATCAATGAAATGTTAATGGCTCTATTTGTATTGATATTTATTAGGGATGGGAACGATTAATCGAATATTCAAAATTATTCAGGTGTTCGAATATGAGAATATGAGTTATGAATATTTTTATTGTGTTTGTTTTTTTGGAAGGGGTGCCTAAGTTGATTACAAAATGGAATAATTCAATGTATTCAACAGTGCCATAGCTAAGTGTGTTAGGTCTAAAGGTGTGGCAGAGCTGCAGGTTCTGATCTCTCTCTCTCGCGTCCGGTTATACTTCACTCACGTTTATGTCCAGATCTAGCTAGTTCTAGCTAATGATATGGCTGCTGCCCCTCCCTACACGCAGATCACGCAGACTCAAACCTCATCTTAGGCCCAAATTCCAGCTGAGAGGGTCTTCTCTACAGCTGGCCTGATTGTGAGTCGCCTCCGCGCCCGCCTCTCCCCTGAGCATGTAGACATGCTCATATTCTTAAACTAGAATGAGTATTGAATAGCTGCATTCTGTGCATAGGCCCTGTTATAGGTTGTTGATCTCTGTTGTAATAGGGTTACGTTACCCTAACCCATTATGTTGTTCGTGTGTGATCCCTCTTTCATTTAAAAACCAAGTTATGTTTTAAGCATGAAAGCTGTAGGCCTATAGCTGTCAACTGTTCAAACTGTGATCACCAGTTAAATACAGTTGACAAATTCGACTTGGTTTCTATTCTTACTTGAACATGTATTTATTTATTTTTCTAAATTAAAAAAAAAAATGTTGCAAACATTTTTCCCACATTTTTTTTCATTTTTTTTATAGGATATGTACATTTCGGTTAACCGTTTTTTGGGGGGTAGAATATTCGAATATACATTTGCTTTCAAATTCCCATCCCTAATATCTAACCATCTATCATCATAATATCCTTTTTTCTTAAATTACTACCCTGGGGTACAAATACCCCTCAATCACTGCATGGTGTGAAACATTGAAATATGTCCCCTTACCTTCCTGCTAGGATCTTGTAGTACGCAAATATCTGATCAGCCAGTTTGTAGACGAACTGATCGAAGCACAGGTTCACCTAAAATCACAGACACAGGTTCAAATAACAGGAGGGTGGTTAGAAGTTCATGTGACTCTTTTTTGTTGTAATTTATTGAACACAATATTTAGTTTTTGGGAACCTCAAAAAAAGCCATCCAATACAACCTTGTTTTTTAACTTAGTAAAACAATGTCATACAACTGTCACCTCTTTGTGTGAGTCAAATTGGATGAACTGTAAATAAACCCTAACAGAGCTTATTGTTACTACATTAGTGGCATTTTATAAGCGGTTATATAACAACTGGAAACGGAAGCATCGACTTTGTTCGACAGCACTTTAAGAAAAATCGTACTAAATAGTGGCATTCTGCTTTGTTGCATCTCCATCACATCTAATACAATTATTTATATTTTATTACCTCGGCCTCGATTTCGTCGTAGAGGAACTGCTTCTTGAATTTGGTCAGAGCGTAGTTGGCGCTGTCGTTGTACAGATCCAGAGGATACAGCACATACCTGGAAGAGAATTCAATAAAAACTCTGTTATTTCAAAGTGCAGAGTGTTGTACTTTAACTGTATCCAACAGTGAAAATAGATATTTGAATATGGCAACTTGATAAAAAGAAGACAATTCACAAATAAGCATAAAACAAACATACACACAGATGTTAAAAAACATAAAATGCATTAAAAACAAACAAAGAACAGGAAGCAGTAACACCTGGCAGGATATGAATACTTATTTGCAAGTGAAGCAGGTTTACTCTTAAGACTTTTGAGGTGAGTTTGTTTGTTTAAGGTGATGACAGACACAGCAAGGCCTTCATATTGGTTTATATATTGCTGAAATGTCAATGTATCCTTGGGCAAGATACTTAACCCTGAGTTGCTTCATAAGTACAGTCCATCATTTACCATGCATTTCCAGTGAGAAAAGTCAAGATTTGAAGTTTTTGGAGTTATCAAATTAAGTGTAAATAAAGGTGAATGTGCTTCACATAACTGCATAATTATCACTTCTGCATTCTTAAATATTTGAACAGCATTAACAACATTAAACATCGGGAATGCTAAATTATTTGTTTCAGTATTTTTGGGTGAACAGTTGAATTACAGCACTTATGATTGATGCCAGTTGTTGTGCTTAAAGGATTATGTGAAACCTGCCTCAACATAATCCTGCAGTGAGGTTTAAAACAGATATCAAAACATTAAAGCTTAATCCCAAATTTGAGGGAGTTTTACCCAAAGTCTCTTTTAAAAAATGTAAAATAGAAAGAAAAACAAAAAACAAGGAGGGAAGTTGCATCTGTCCAATCACACTTTTAATCTAACACACAAAGCTGCCAAAACTAAAGCATGAAATGTGTGTATTAAATGTGTGGCATCCTTGTATCTCAACAGCATCAAATTCACTTTTGAGAATGTGTTGTTCATAAAGAAAACAAAGCAGTGTCTTTGGAGATCAGCAGGTTTTATCCTTCTTTTCATTCCTAAAATTCTCAAACATTAGAAACAAAACAGAAAACAATAGCACTACAGTAGAAAGGAAAAATGTAAAAGGAAAAATGTGTTTATTTGTTTTTGGGTGCATTGTCCCTTTAAGTCAAAATGTCTGAAAAAAGTCAAGATTCTGAAGTAGTTACATTTTCCTGGAAAAAGTAAAAATTCTGAGAAAAGACCAAATTCTGTGAATAAAGTAAAAGTTCTGGAAAAAAAGTCAACATTTCTGAAGAAATTCAACTTTACTTGAAAAAGTCAAAATTCTGAAAAAAAAGATTCTGAAGAAATTCAAAATATCTGGAAAAAGTCAAAATATCTGAAGAAATTCTAAATTATGAGAAAAGTCAAAATTCTGAATAAATTCAATTTTCCTTGAAAAAGTGAGGATTCTGAAGAAAATTCAACATTTCTGAAAAAAGTCAATTTTAGTTGAAAAAGTCCAAATTCTGAGAAAAAAATTCTGGAGAAATTCTAAATTCTGAGAAAAGTCAAAATTATGAGGAAATTAAATTTTACTCGAGAAAGTCAAAATTCTGAGAAAAGTCACAATTCTAAAAAAGAAAATTAATCTGGATAAATTCTCAAAAATTAGAAACAAATACCACTACAGTAGAAAGGAAAAATGTAAAAGGAAAAATATGTTTATTTGTTTTTGGTGCCCTTTAAGTGAAAATATCTGAAAAAAGTCAAGATTCTGAAGAAGTTACATTTTCCTCGAAAAAGTAAAAATTCTGGGAAAAGTCAAAATCTTGTAAAAATTCTGAGAAAAGTCAACATTTCTGAAAAAACGACAACTTTCCTTGAAAAAGTCAACAAAAGTAAAAGTATCTGAATAAATTCAAAATGAGAAAAGTCAAAATTCTGAAGAAATGAAATGTAAACAAGCTCAATAGAATGTAATTATTGAATAAAAGATTGAGGTAATTCTCCTCATGACCCCAAACAGATCTGATGTAACCTTACTTAAATGTATACATAATACTTCAACATCATTTTCCATCTGAGCTTCAACTGGCACTCTTTTAATAACGTCATCTTATTCTGTAATAGCATAATAGTTTTCCAGCTACTGCGTATCTCCATGAACAAACTCTTGATACACCTAGAACTGTAGGGGATGTAAACAAACAGTAATAATCTTTTTTTGGGCTTATTTTCTTGAAACCATCTGGATAGATTTGGACAGCTGCGTTTTTATTGAAGCAGCTAGCAGAACAGCAGCTTCAGGCTAATATGCTTTAGGGGCATGTTTAAACATATACTGTGTGAGTTAGAGCACATGAGTGCATTTCAGCTGTGTTTTATATAAAAGATGTGGCTCCAATGTCTACAGTGCAGACACATTTACTGTATGGGGTTAAAAACGGTGAAAATATGTTTTCCCACAATAATCTTTTTCCAGGAGAACTCTACTCACTCCATCATGGACGCCTCCTTGGTCTCCAGGATGTGGTCGGTGAGGATCCAGGGCATGGACATCTCGATGGGGAACTGGATCCTGCGGCCCATGGTGAGCTCCAGGAAGAACTCCCTGAACCAGAGCTGGGAGAGATCGCAGCACATCTGAAGGGTCTCTGCAGGAGCAACCAGACAACACTTACCATAAGTTGGGAAAATACTGAATGTACTCTTCTAGTATCAGAGTAGCACATGATAACAAAGACCCTACATTATGATGTGATATGAATGATAATGGGACACATCGACGTCTGCACTCAGTGCCGCGGACTGTACGTAATGTTACTTTGATCCACTGAGTGCAGACGTCGATGTGTCCCATTATCATTCATATCACATCATAATGTAGGGTCTTTGTTATCNTAGTGTTAGCAGTTAGCTGGTGAGAGATAGTGTTAGCAGTTAGCTGGTGAGAGATAGTGCTAGCTGTTAGCTGGTGAGAGATAGTGTTAGCTTTTGAGAGATAGTGTTAGCAGTTAGCTGGTAAGAGATAATAGTTAGTTGGTGAGAGATAGTGTTAGCTGTTAGCAGGTACAAAATGATTTCAGATGAACCAAAGTGAGTTTGAGAATCAATCAATATTTTAATTTCAACAAAGGAAGAACAATCTCAGAAAAAATCCATAAATAAGAAATCTGGAATATGTTTATATTTACACAATTCAGATTTAAACCAGACTCTTAATATCAATTAGACCCTTATAATGTTTATTCTCCTGATGTTTCTTCTTCAGTGGCCTACGAAGAAGCAGGATTTGCGGTTAGAGAAGTAACTTCAGGGTTAACTCTGTGTTAGAGAGGTAACTTCAGGGGCGACAAATCACCGACTGTGTGAACGTGAATATGAATAGAATATCAGCTCCCATCTTCAGAGCAATCTGACTATTAGAACATTAGCGTTAAGAAAGCTTACTTAAATATCTGCCACAACATAAGTAACTGGATCAAAGTAACATTAAGTACAGTCCGCGGCACTGAGTGCAGACGTCGATGTGTCCCAGTATCATTCATATCACATCATAATGTCTCATATTTCCTTATCTGAGTCAGCTTCTCGAGCTGTATCTGGCCTTCTTAATATTTGTCTAATTATAGTTCACTTTTCATTCAGGAAGTATGACGCGCTGCACTGTCAGTGTGCTTCTCCATGTTTGTGATTTGCTAACCCCGCCCCTCTCATGTGAATGCGCACTCAGCCGGACAGAGAAAACCTGGCTTGAGTTACCGAGTTAATAACCAGCGTCGTAGGACCGCTTAGCGAGAGCGCGTTTGTTAGGGTTAGTTAAGATAACTCAGAGAGATCAGGGTATGTTGAACTGGATTCACAGTACAGGGGACAGGTGTTTCTTAGCGTTAGGGTTAGGACACTGTGAATTATAAAGAGTTCAATCTGCAAAATAAAGGTAGTGGTGGGGAAACAAGTAGAGGAGAGCCAACACAAAACACAGATAGCAGCAAGATGTGGTATTTCTGAGCATCTCCCTGGTTCTGTGTTGGTCCCTGAAGGCAGCACCTTCCTGGTTTTGAGTTGGTCCCTAAAGGCAGCATCTTCCTGGTTTTGAGTTGGTCCCTGAAGGTAGCATCTCCCTGGTTCTGAGTTGGTCCCTGAAGGCAGCATCTCACTTGTTCTGTGTTGGTCCCTGAAGGCAGCATCTCCCTGGTTCTGAGTTGGTCCCTGAAGGCAGCATCTCCCTGGTTCTGAGTTGG